GGAAACGAAAGGAGCTTGGAGGCCCGCGCTATGCCCTAGCTCGAGCTCCCTGGCCTTGGGCTTGCTCCATCCCTCCACTGGCCCACAGTTTCCCCACCTGTCAGCAGAGGCTCTGACCAAATGATTTTAAGACCCTTTGCTCTGACATAAGGATATTTTGGAGTTACAATGCCACAACAGAAGAATCTCTGTTTTAACAAATATATCTTGTGGTCCTCCCTACTTGCAGACTTGGCCATGGACAAGCGGCACCGGCCTCACTTGAGAGCAGGTAGAAATGCAGATGCTCAGGCCCCACTCAGATCTCCTGAATCAGAATCTGCATTTTAGGACTTCCCTGGTGGCGCAGTGGTTAAGAATCTGCCTGCCAATGCAGGGGACACGGGTTTGAGCCCTGGTCCGGAAAGATCCCACATGCCGCGGAGCAACTAAGCCCGTGTGCCACAACTACTGAGCCCACGTGCCACAACTACTGAAGCCCGCACACCTAGAGCCCGTGCTCCGCAACAGAAGCCACCGCAATGAGAAGCCTGCGCACCGCAACAAAGAGTAGCCCCCGCTCACCACAACTAGAGAAAGCCTGCGCACAGCAATGAAGACCCAACACAGCCAAAAATAAATAAAGAAATAAATTAATTAATTAAAAAAAAAGAATCTGCATTTTAACAAGATGCCCAGTGCGTGAAAAGCACTGATTTATATCACCCAGTCTGAAATGAAGAGTTTTAAATGCTTTTACATCTTCAAGTATATTTATATATATTTATACATTTCTCAGGGATTTTAAAAAACAACGAACATGTCATTTTTTTTCTGAAACAATAAAGGTGTTATGAAAATGGTAAATGAACCCAGGCCAGTTCAGAGACAAAATGATTTATGTAAATCTGGTGAACAGTTTTTCCCAGGAAATTTTCCTTCTGAGTAAGGTAGGGTCTCGCACTTTCCATAAGTTGGCCTCTTCCCAGCAAGTGTCTCCCTCATGCCTGATTCCTGGAAGGCTGTGTGTGCGTGCGTGTGTGTGTGTGTGTGTGTGTGTGTGTGTGTGTGTGTGTGGTGTTGTGTGACTGTGTCTTGCAGCTGATCCACTGAGCAGGGACTTCAGCCAAGTCAGCAAAACCAGGATGGAAAAAAAACTAGATTCCTAAAGGCTTCAGGGTAAGCCTGGGGAGCTTGGGCAACCATCCCTCAGATAAACTGAAGCAGCATGTACTGTGGATTAGTCAGGCATCCTGGCTTTCCAGTTGGGCCCACCTCCTAGAGGGCTTCCTGCCTAACCCTCCTGTCCAGCTGGGGTTCTCTGTTTCTCCTCATCTCCAAAACAAAAGCCCCAAACACCATCCCATCCACTTCGGGAATTTATCCCAAAGAAGCGATCTCGATGTAGGCAAAGATCTTCCTAAAAGAATGATCATCACATGCTGTTGATAAGAGTGAGAAGCCAGAAAAAAAATCCAAGTGTCCAAGAATAGGGGCCTGAGGTTACTTCATGATGTATTTCAATCCTGTGCCTGCCTGGGAGCAGGTCAGCAGTTATGGGCAGGAGTCGGCAGGTCTGGACTCGAGGGATAATTTAAGCAGTTTATTTAGCCTCTCCAAGCCTCACTTTCCTGAGCTGTAAAATGGGAGTGATAATAATACCAAATGCCTTCTCTTGTTTTGAGGATTAAATGAGGACATACACGGAAAACATTTAACACCACGCCTGGTGCACAGTAAGCACTTGGTAAATGGTTGTTTGCTGTGCGCCGGTTCAGATACAGACAAATGTTGGCGGTGAGTATTAATGACAAGGAAATATATATATGGCACAGTGAAAGTGGAAAAAACAGATTATAACTCAGCATGATCCATTTTGTAAACATATGTGTACATATTCACATTTAGCCTTGTATGTAATTGATAAACATGAAGTGGAGATGTAGTTGCTACAAGAACAGGAAATGTCCGGCCACTGGGGAACCCTTTCTCATTTCTCAGGCTCACTTCCATACTCTTTGCCTGAGAATGCCAGGGAAAATCAGATTTGGACCTATCGTTGATAAGGACCATAATGAAAAAACAAAAGTGGCACCACTTGAGTGCTTTCTAGCAGACAGGCACCTTCTAGGTGTACTACCAGCTCATTTATTCTTCACAACCACCTATGAAGCGACACTATTAATATTCTCATTTTACAGATGAGGAAACTGAGGCACAGAGGGGCTGAGTAGTCATCTGTCCAAGGTCTAACAGCCAAAAAGAGGTCAGAAGATAGTTTCAAACCTGGGCTCTAATTACTATGCTATCCCACCCCCCAGGCCTCTCATTGACAAGGACGGAAACTAAGGCCCAGAGAAGCAGGACACTGGCCCAAGGCCACACAGCAAAGCAGTGTCAAAGGAGGAACTAGTACTAAGCCTCCTGAAGCTTTGAGGCTCCTCAGTGCCCCCTTCAGGCAGCCTGAGGATGCACTGGCTACCTGATTCCTCCAGGCTGTAGGAAGGGCACCTGCGCAGCTAATCGTTTGCACTCCTCTGCGTACAACCGGCTGCTAGGGAAGTACAGGTCTTTGGCGAGCAAAGGAGACAACCCACAAACTGTCTGCACCTTCCGCTGAAGCCCTGCCTCCACCCTCCAAATCCCATGTCACTTAAGGCAAATGTAATCCATATGGCTCTAATTCATTTACACTTAAATCTGCAAGACACTGGGTTCTAAGTGCTATTACTTACAAAGCCTTCAGAACCTGTTAAGTGAGATTCAGCTCCCCAACTCCTCCTCTCCAACCCTACCCCGAGTCCAGTCTTCCTCCCCTTCCCCCTTCTGGACCAGAGTTCATACCAGCATCTGGCAGGGCTGAAAAGAAACTCACAAACTCAGACTTGGAAACTGTGGAGGCGGGGGGCACAGGACCAGTTATTAGGATGTTCAGAGCAGCATTGTTTGTAATCCCAAAAGTTGGAAACAATGTATATGTCTATCCATGGGAGAATGGATGAATAAAGTGTGGCAAATGCATACAATGTGACACCAAACAGCAGTAAAATGGACAATCTCACAAAAATACTGTTGAGGGAAAAAACCAAGCAAGTTGCAGATTAATTCATAATATGATACCAATTATTCAAAATTTAAAAACACTGAAAAATCATTATATGCAAATATATAAACTACCTTGGTAAAGTTCATTTTTTAACCTGGTAGTGGGTACATGGATATTTGTTCTAGCATATATACATTTCTGTATAATTTTGAAAAGCTACATAATAAAATTTTCAGTAAACCCCTAGATTTCACATCAGCAAAGGAAGTTAGCCTATGTGTTGAGTTCAACTCCCTCATTTCACAGAAGGGGAGGAGGAAATAATTTAATATTTGTTAACTACATAACACTTACTAAATACTCACTTGTCAAGCACACCCTCATTTCATGTAAGTTCCAATCCCCTGCATGGTAGCATATGCTGTTACTATTCTCATTTTACAGATGAGGCAGCTGAGGCTCAGCAACTTCCTCAAGGTCATGCAGCTTGTAAACCACAAGGTTGCAATACAAGTCGTGGCCTCTGGCTCCCAAGGCTCACACACCAGACCACATGCTGTGGAGGCCAGCACTGTTCTTTTACATCTTTATTGGAGTATAATTGCTTTACAATGTTGTGTTACTTTCTGCTTTATAACAAAGTGAATCAGTTATACATATACATATGTTCCCATATCTCTTCCCTCTTGCGTCTTCCTCCCTCCCACCCTCCCTACCCCACCCATCCAGGTGGTCACAAAGCACCGAACTGATCTCCCTGTGCTATGCGGCTGCTTCCCACTAGCTATCTATTTTACATAGATAGTGTATATATGTCCATGCCTCTCTCTCACTTTGTCACAGCTTACCCTTCCCCCTCCCCATATCCTCAAGTCCATTCTCTAGTAGGTCTGTGTCTTTATTCCGTCTTACCCCTAGGTTCTTCATGACATTTTTTTTCTTAGATTCCATATATATGTGTTAGCATACGGTATTTGTCTTTCTCTTTCTGACTTACTTCGCTCTGTATGACAGACTCTAGGTCCATCCACATCACTACAAATAACTCAATTTCGTTTCTTTTTATGGCTGAGTAATATTCCATTGTATATATGTGCCACATCTTCTTTATCCATTCATCCGATGATGGACACTTAGGTTGTTTCCATCTCCTGGCTATTGTAAATAGAGCTGCAATGAACATTTTGGTACATGACTCTTTTTGAATTATGGTTTTCTCAGGGTGTATGCCCAGTAGTGGGATTGCTGGGTCATATGGTAGTTCTATTTGTAGTTTTTTAAGGAAACTCCATACTGTTCTCCATAGTAGCTGTACCAATTCACATTCCCACCAGCAGTGCAAGAGTGTTCCCTTTTCTCCACACCCTCTCCAGCATTTATTGTTTCTAGATTTTTAGATGGGACCTAATGAAACTTCAAAGCTTTTGCATAGCAAAGGAAACCATAAACAAGACCAAAAGACACTCAGAATGGGAGAAAATATTTGCAAATGAAGCAACTGACAAAAGATCTCCAAAATTTATAAGCAGCTCATGCAGCTCAATATCAAAAAAACAAACAACCCAATCCAAAAATGGGCAGAAGACCTAAATAGACATTTCTCCAAAGAAGATATACAGACTGCCAACAAACACATGAAAGAATGCTCAACATCACTAATCATTAGAGAAATGCAAATCAAAACTACAATGAGATATCATCTCACACCGGTCAGAACGGCCATCATCAAAAAATCTAGAAACAGCACTGTTCTTTGATCTTACCCCACAAGTCTCTGAGTTAGGTTTCATTATTACTGGTTTTAGAGGTGAGGAAACTGAAGCTCTGAGCAGTCATTTGCTAACGCTTGTTCAGGCAGTTACTCCACAGAGACCAGACAAGGGAGCTTCCTGACTCCTAGTCCAGTGTTCTTTCTCTATCAGGCTTTGTCTGGAAGACCTGGTGGGGGGGAAAGTATGGCTGTGTTTACCCTTACCTTCTACTCCTTAGAAGCTCTACGCAGTTCGGGTACTGCCAAGGGGAACGAAGCTCCCAAAGTCGCCTTGGCCAGGTTTGGGGCACAAAGTTGTATAGAAGGGGAGGACCTGGTGAGCCCTGGGTCTTGCAGCCAAAGAAGCCATCCTTAACTCCACTTTCATTCACAATCGGCATCCAATCTATCAGTCAGGTCCCTGCAGGAAACAGGTGGCACACTCAAACTGGGTGCTTTGAGGAGAGTTTAATAAAAGGACTATGCACAAACTTACAGGCAGGGTTAAGAAAAAACAACCACTTACAACGTGGTACTCTGGGGCTGGCAAGAGCAGGGAGTTGTCACCACTCAGGTCTGATGGGCAAAGGGAGGAGCCATTACCCACCCCTGAGGAGCAGCTTTTCTGGGTGGGCTGCCTGATTAGAGCTGTGCCCTTGGTAGAGGGCTCAGCCAAACCGAAAGGAGGCAGTCGAGGAAATATACCACAACCTCACACTTCTCCTTCCGTCAGATCCCTTGCCAGTATTCCTTTTGGCCAAACTCAGTGGGAAACTCCTTCGGCCAAACCCAACGGGAAACAGGACAGAGACTCTGGATGGAGTTCATACAGCTCAGTCTCCCAGGGCATAGAGCAGGGTGGGGAGAGCCAGAGACTGAATCCAGAGGGGCAGGCAGAAGAAAACAGAAAACACTGGCTTTCCTTCAGATAGACCCAGACTCTGGCGGTATACTGCATACCACCTCCATGGCTAGCCCCTGGTGCGAGCCATCATCACCCCTAGGCTGTATTTCTACAACAGACTCCTAGGTGATCGCCCAGCTTCTACAGTCTGTTCCTAACAGTCAGTGATTCTTGTAAATTACATGTCAAACCATGTCACTCCTCTGCTCAAAATCTTCAAGGGAAGAGCAAAAGCCAAAGTCCTTACAAAACCTCGCAAGTTCCTGCACAGTCTGTCACCTGTCCATCACCCCTTGACCTCATCTCCCTATTTTTCTCCAGTATTCACTCTGCTCCAGCCACACTGACCTTTCTCTTCTTTGATATACAAGGACAGTTCCTGCTTTAGGGCCGCTGCTGATCTCTCTGCCTGGAATGTTCTTTCCCCTCCATGCTTTACCTCCATCAAGTCTACTCAAGTGTCTCCTGCTCAATGAGACCTACTCTGACCCTCCTTTGTAAAACTGCAAACTGTCTCCCCCAACTCTCGCCCACTATCCCTGATCCCCATCATCCTACTCTAGTTTCCTTTTCCCCATATCACTTGTCATCTTTTAACATGCCACATCATTTACTTATTTGATTTTTCTTTTCTTGTGGCTGCGCCAGGTCTTAGTTGTAGCACGCAGGATCTTCATTGCAGCCTGCTTAGTTGTGGCATGCGTGATCTTTAGTTGCAACATGTGGGCTCTTAGTGGTGGCATGCGGACTTCTTAGTTGTGGCATGCAGACTCTCAGTGGCGGCATGCATGTGGGATCTAGTTCCCCGACCAGGGATCGAACCTGGGCCCCTGGCATTGGGAGTGCAGAGTCTTACCCATTGGACCACCAGGGAAGTCCCCTACTTACCTGTTATATTTATTATCTGTATCTTCCCACTAGAACACAAGTTCTGCAAGCATAAGGCTCTGTTTTGTTCATCAGTGGATCTCCAGACCTTGGAATTTTGTAGGTGTTCAACACATACTTGTTGAATGTTGTTGAATGACTGAAATGGGGGTGAGGAAAGATTAGGCTTGGAATTTTCCAGTTAGAAAAGGGTAGAGGATGGGTAGAGCCAGTGAGAAGATTAATGGGTCCTATATGAGGGAAAGGAAAAAAAGTCAACATAGAATTATTCATTACTATATACCTGTTAAAAGTTGTATCTTACCAACAGATATCAAAGGCCTGAACATTTTGTAGACCCTTTGTCCTAGCAATTCCATTTTCAAGAATTTGTACAAGGAAATTGTCATCATTTTTTGGTAAAAATGTAGTAATGATGAAATTCTTCACAGTGAAGTGAAGAATAATGAAAAATTGGAACCAAAGTAGCCATCTAACAATTGTGAAATGCCTAACTATGGTACAGCCATAGGTGGAATACTATGCGAACATTAAGTTCATTAATTGACCTGAATGATATTTATGATAATTGCTTAATGAGAAAAGCACATTATAAAACAGCATTACATTATAATCTTGTTTTTTTGCGGTACGCGGGCCTCTCACTGTTGTGGCCTCTCCCGTTGCGCAGCACAGGCTCCGGACGCGCAGGCTCAGTGGCCATGGCTCTCGGGCCCAGCCGCTCCGCGGCATGTGGGATCTTCCCGGACCGGGGCACAAACCTGTGTCCCCTGCATCGGCAGGAGGACTCTCAACCACTGCGTCACCAGGGAAGCCCTAATCTTGTTTTTTATTAAAATATACAGTTGTCTCTTGAACAACATGGGTTTGAACTGTGCAGGTTCACTTACATGCAGATTTCTTTCACTAAATTCGTCCTATAGGACTACTCAATCCACGGTGGTTGAATCCTCGGATGTGGAATAGTGAATACTGAGGGCTAACTGTGAAGTTACACGCAAATTTTTTTTTTTTTTTGGTACGCGGGCCTCTCACCGCTGTGGCCTCTCCCGTCGCGGAGCACAGGCTCCGGACGCGCACGCTCAGTGGCCCTGGCTCACGGGCCCAGCCGCTCCACGGCATGTGGGATCTTCCCAGACCGGGGCACAAACCTGTGTCCCCTGCATTGGCAGGTAGACTCTCAACCACTGCGCCACCAGGGAAGCCCACACGCAAATTTTTGACTGCATGGAGGTCAGCACCCCTAGTCCCCGTGTTGTTCAAGGGCCAACTATATATGCATTTTAAAAGTTCGAGAAAGCTATAACCCAAAATATTAATGGCACTTATCTCTGGATGGGCACCATACAGGTATTTTATTTCTTTTGCCTCTATTTCCTAAATTTGCTTCAAGGAACTTAATTATTTTAAAAACTAAATTTATATTTTTTAAATAGCAGTTATTTATGAGCTCTTGGACAAATAACTTGACTCCTCTGGGTAACAGTTTCCTCATTTGTTTGTTTGGTTTTTTGTTTGTTTGTTTGTTTTTGCCTGTGCCAGGCAGCTTGTGAGATCTTAGTTCCCTGACCAGGGATTGAACCCCGGCCCTTGGCAGTGAAAGCTCCGTGTCCTAACCATGGGACTGCCAGGGAATTCCCTTCCTCATTTTTTTTTTTTTTAATATTTTTGTTTTTAACATCTTTATTGGAGTATAATTGCTTTACAATGTGTGTTAGTTTCTGCTTTATAACAAAGTGAATCAGCTATACATATACACATATCCCCATATCTCCTCCCTCTTGCATCTCCCTCCCACCCTCCCTATCCCACCCCTCTAGGTGGACACAAAGCACAGAGCTGATCTCCCTGTGCTGTGCAGCTGCTTCCCACTAGCTATCTATCTTACATTTGGTAGTGTATATATGTCCATGCCACTCTCTCACTTCATCCCAGCTTACCCTTCCCCCTTCCTGTGTCCTCAAGTCCATTCTCTACATCTGCGTCTTTATTCCTGTCCTGCCCCTGGGTTCTTCAGAACCACTTTTTTTTTTTTTCAGATTCCCTATATATGTGTTAGCATACAGTATTTGTTTTTCTCTTTCTGACTTACTTCACTCTGTAGGACAGACTCTAGGTCCATCCGCCTCATTACAAATAACTCAATTTCATTTCTTTTTATGGCTGAGTAATATTCCATTGTATTTATGTGCCACATCTTCTTTATCCATTCATCTGCTGCTGGACACTTAGGTTGCTTCCATATCCTGGCTATTGTAAATAGTTCTGCAATGAACACTGTGGTACATGACTATTTTGAATTATGGTTTTCTCAGGTTATATGCCCAGTAGTGGGATTGCTGGGTCATATGGTAGTTCTATTTGTAGTTTTTTAAGGAACCTCCATACTGTTCTCCATAGTTGCTGTATCAATTTACATTGCCATCAACAGTGCAAGAGGATTCCCTTTTCTCCACACCCTCTCCAGCATTTATTGTTTGCAGATATTTTGGTGATGGCCATTCTAACTGGTGTGAGGTGATACCTCATTGTAGTTTTGATTTGCATTTCTCTAATGATTAGTGATGTTGAGCATCCTTTCATGTGTTTGTTTGCAATCTGTATATCTTCTTTGGAGAAATGTCTATTTAGGTCTTCTGCCCATTTCTGGATTGGGTTGTTTGTTTTTTTGATATGAGCTGCATGAGCTGCTTGTAAGTTTTGGAGATCACTCTTTTGTCAGTTGCTTCATTTGCAAATATTTTCTCCCATTCTGAGGGTTGTCTTTTTGTCTTGTTTATGGTTTCCTTTGCTGTGCAAAAGCTTTTAAGTTTCATTAGGTCCTACTTGTTTATTTTTGTTTGTATTTCCACTTCTTTAGGAGGTGGGTCAAAAAGGATCTTCTTGTGATTTATGTCATAGACTGTTCTGCCTATGTTTTCCTCTAAGAATTTCATAGTGTCTGGCCTTACATTTAGGTCTTTAATCCATTTTTAGTTTATTTTTGTGTATGGTGTTAGGAAGTGTTCTAATTTCATTCTTTAACATGTAGCCGTCCAGTTTTCTCAGCACCACTTATTGAAGAGGCTGTCTTTTCTCCATTGTATATTCTTGCCTCCTTTATCAAAAATAAGGTGACCATATGTGTGGGTTTATCTCTGGGCTTTCTATTCTGTTCCATTGATCTATATTTCTGTTTTTGTGCCAGTACCATACTGTCTTGATTACTGTAGCTTTGTAGTATAGTCTGAAGTCTGGGAGCCTGATTCCTCCAGCTCCGTTTTTCTTTCTCAAGATTGCTTTGGCTATTTGAGGTCTTTTGTGTTTGCATACAAATTGTGAAATTTTTTGTTCCAGTTCTGTGAAAAATGCCATTGGTAGTTTGACAGGGATTGCATTGAATCTGTAGATTGCTTTGGGTAGTATAGTCATTTTCACAATGTTGATTCTTCCAATCCAAGAACATGGTATATCTCGCCATCTGTTTGTATCATCTTTAATTTCTTTCCCTTCCTCATTTTTGAATTGGAGTTAAAAACAGTTTCAAGTCCTTCCTATTTGATAAAAGCTGCTCTTAGATGTATACTGGAGAAATCGGCCAAAACTATAAGAGAAAAAAAAGAATTAAGAGATGTAAAAATTGAAAGAGATAAAGCTAGCACTATTTGCAGTGACTATATTTATTGACTTAGAAAAATCAAGCTCAAGCTATAAAAATTAATAACCATCTAGAAAATGCAATTTAAAAATATAGTACCATTCATAAATGGTAACAAAAACTATAATGTCTCTGGGAAGTAATGAAGAACAAAGCCAAGATATCCCCTTCTGTAACCAAACAGAACACTATGGGGCCTTCCAGAGACAGACACCCCCTCCCCCATATCCTCTTCACTGAAGTGCCTAGATAATATAATATCTGATGTACATTTCCTGAGTTGTTTTACAGATGCTAAAACCACCACCAAACAAAGAAATTAACTACTTGATGACCATGAACATGTAGCCCCCATACCTACTGGTGCCTAAGGATTGATAATGTTAACCTCTGTGACACCACCTTGTTACCTCACCATCAACCAATCAGAGAATTGTGCATGAGCTGATCACATACCCTGGGACTCCCCCTCCCTCGCCATACCTTTAAAAATGCTTTCCTGGAACCCATCAGGGAGCTTGGGTGTTTTGAGCACTAGCTGCCCTGGATTCCTTGCTTGGCGTCCTGCAATAAACACTGCACTTTCCTTTATCACAACCCAGTTGGCTTTACTGTGCGCAGGTGAGCAGACCCAACTTTGGTTTGGTAACACTTTCACCATTTCTATTCAACATTAAAATCGTTATTTTATCCATTGCAATAAGAAAAGAAAAATTAATAAAGGCGTACAGCTTGGAAAAGGAGTAAAATTGTTTTTTTTCACAGATGATATGATTATGTGTGGAAAAACATAAGAAATTTACAACAGAAACTATTAAACTCAGGACACAAGGTCAATATTTAAAAAATTTAATTTTCACTGTATAGTAGCACAATTTAAAAAATTAAGTAGAAAGTATTATTTATAATAGCTCCAAACCCCATAAAATTCTTAGAAATAAGTGTATCAAAAGATGTGTAAGATCTCTACACTAAAAGCTACAAAATACTGATAAAAGAAATCAAAAAGACCTAAACAAAGGGAGAGTTATACCATGTTTATAGACTGGAGAGCTCAACATTGTTGAGATATTAATTTTCTCCAAATGTATGTACAGATTCAACACAATCTCAATCAAAGTTACAGCAGGATTTTTTTAAAGTACAAATTAAGTCTAAAATTTATATGGAAATGTAAGCAACCTCAAATATTCAAATCAATCTTGAAAAAGGTTGAAGGACTTATCCTACTTGATTTCAAGATTTAACTATAAAGATACAAGAGTCAAGAATAGATATACGGGGCTTCCCAGGTGGCGCAGTGGTTAAGAACCCGCCTGCCAATGCAGGGGACATAGGTTCTAGCCCTGGTCCAGGAAGATCCCATATGCCGCGGAGCAACTAAGCTCGTGTGCCACAACTACTAACTGCACTCTAGAGCCTGTGAGCCACAACTACTGGAGCCCACGTGCCACAACTACTGAAGCCCACACACCTAGAGCCCATGTTCCACAACAAGAGAAGCCACTGCAATAAGGAGCCCGTGCACCACAACAAAGAGTAGCCCCCCAGTCGCCGCAACTAGAGAAAGCCTGTGTGCAGCAACGAAGACCCAACACAGCCAAAAATAAATTTTAAAAAATATAATAGATATACAGATCAATGAAACAGAACAGTGTCCAGAAATAGATCCACACATGTATATGGCCAACTGATTTTCAACAGAAGTTCCAAGGTAATTCAATGGGGAAAGAAAACACTTTTCAACATATTGTGCTGGAACAACTAGATTTCTGTGAGGAGAAAAAAAATGAATCTCAATCCCTACCTCATACTATACCCCCAAATCAATTCCAGATGAATCAAAGAACTACTTGCAAAAGCTAAAATTATAAAGCCTTTAGGAAAAAACAGGAGAATATTGTCAACCTTGGGGTAGACAAATATCTCTTGGAGAGATCTCAATAGGCAGGATTTATAAAGAGAATGAGAAGACAAGCCAC